TAATACACGTGCATGTAAAGTTTGCATGGTTATTCGACGTTCATTCACATTTTCAGATAGTATCCGCATGGTTATTAACTCGGAATATTTAATTTGGGATTTCTATTTTTTTTATTAAATAAATTAAATTAAATTAAATATAATATATAGTTAATGATGGATTTAGCCGTTAATATTACTCCGTAGACTCCCAAGTCTCGTTTGCTTTCAAGACTGGGAACGAATTCGTCAATGAATTAATGCATCCAATAATAACACGCCACGTGGCAGTTTTCTTTTCACTTTTTTCATGTATATATAAATCGTAAAATCTTAATTCAGAGTTATCACAGGGAAGAAGATGGGTTCTTCTTCTTTTGGCAACTACTCCGCCATTAATATAATCCAGTTCTTCACTATTCTTCTTGTTCTCGTTACTTCTCAGCCGCCGCCGCCGCCGCCGCCGCCGTTTTCTTCTTCCCCACCAGCTTTAAGCATCACCACCGACAAGGAAGCATTGCTTTCATTAAAGTCACAATTCCTCGTCGAAATTCCCAATAACCCTCTCTCAACATGGGACCAACAAAATCTCTCTCCCTGCAACTGGTCCGGTGTTTCCTGCACCGAGCAACGAGTCACCGGCCTCGATCTCTCCGGTCTCAGAATGGCCGGTTCGATTAGCCCTTACTTAGGTAACCTCTCCTCCCTCCGATCACTCCACTTGCAGAACAATCAACTGACTGGAAAAATACCATTGACTATAAGTGGATGCAGAGATCTCATGACCTTGGAATTGATGCAGAACCGGATTTGGGGAAGAATCCCTCACGAAATCAGCCAACTCATGCAGCTTCAAATCCTGAATTTAGCCGGGAATCAGCTTTCAGGTGAAATCCCGTCGTCCTTAACCAACATTTCTTCCCTCGTCGATTTAAACCTACGCACGAACAATTTAGGGGGTTCCATTCCCAGTGATTTGTGGCGCCTTTCGAATTTGAAGCTTCTCGATCTCACCATCAACAATCTCTCCGGTAGAGTTCCGCTGTCACTGTACAACATGTCCGCCTTGGTGTACGTTGCTTTAGCTTCCAACAATTTCTGGGGCGAACTTCCTCCTGATATCGGAATCACGCTGCCGAATCTTCTAGGGTTAAATTTCTGCTTCAATAGATTCACAGGTACTATTCCTTCATCTCTACACAACCTCACAAACATACAGACCATTCAAATGGCTCGTAACTTCTTCCATGGGAGTATTCCACCAGGGCTTGGAAACCTGCGAAATTTAGAAATCTATAACATAGGATTCAACAGAATTGTCGGAAATTCGGGTCTAGATATTCTCGAGCTTTTGACAAATAGCACCCGATTGGACTTCCTCGCTTTCGATTTCAATCTTTTCAAGGGTGAAATCCCCAATTCCATAGGCAATCTTTCCAAAGTTCTCACAAAGTTGTACATGGGTGGGAATGATATCCACGGTACTATACCATCTTCCATCGGTGAGCTTAGGGCATTGGATTTACTGAATATGAGCTATTGTTCGATCTCCGGCGAAATTCCGGCAGAGATTGGGCTGTTGAACGAATTGAGGGTTTTGGGATTGGCTGGTAATAAGTTGTCTGGAAAAATCCCTAATTCTTTAGGCAATCTCCAACATCTAATCAAGATTGATTTATCCAGGAATAAGTTTGTCGGAAGCGTACCCAACACTTTTACGAACCTCCAAAACCTTATATCCATTGATTTGTCTGATAACATGCTAAATGGAAGTATTCCTATTGAAATTCTCAATCTCCCCAAATTAAGTGTCTTCCTTAATCTATCTCGAAATCAACTCACCGGTTCCATACCAGTAGAAATTGGGTCGCTAGAAAATATTGTAGTGATCAACATTTGCGACAACATGTTATCAGGCTGTATTCCTAGTTCCATTGGGAGGTGTAAGAGTTTGGAGCATCTGTCATTTGCTAGAAACATGTTGTCTGGTCCAATTCCAGACACTTTAGGATCTGTCAGAGGATTGGAAACTCTCGATCTTTCCGCAAACCAACTCTCCGGAAATATACCATTGAACCTCCAGAACTTGCAGTTGCTACAATTCTTGAATCTCTCTTTCAATAACTTGGAAGGAGAAATACCCGGTGGTGGAATTTTCAAGGATCGTTCGAAATTTCACTTCGATAACAACAAAAGACTCTGCTCGAGTTTGTCCTGTGAAATTCCCCGTCGAGGGAGAAAATCCGCCTTCATTTATATCCTAATAAGTGTTGCTGCTTTAGTGTCTATTTGTTTCGCGATTGGCTTGATATGGAACGTTCGAAAAGCCAAAAAGACGATGATCGAGGACTTGTTTGATGATGATCAATCCGGAGAGAGAAAGCCTCAAATAATTTCTTACAAGGAGCTATGTTTTGCAACAGATAATTTCGGCGAGGAAAACCTTATCGGACATGGGAGCTTTGGGTTTGTTTACAGAGGAGTTGTGCAAGGAGTGACTATGGCAGTGAAGGTCCTCAATACTGCGGTAGCGAAACCACGAAAGACCTTTTTAGCAGAGTGTGGAGCTTTGAGATATTTGAGGCATCGGAATCTTGTGAAACTCGTCACTGCTTGTTCGAGTTTGAACTCGAAGAACGAGGAGTTTTTTGCTCTGGTATTCGAATTCATGAGCAATGGGAGCTTGGATGATTGGATAACTGGGAAAAGAAAGCATGCAAACGGGATTGGAATGACTGCTTCGGACCGACTGAAATACGCAATAGGAATTGCATCGGCGATCGACTATTTGCACAACGAAACCGAAGTGCCGATCGTGCATTGTGATTTGAAGCCGAGTAACGTTCTACTGGATTCGGACATGACTCCAAAGGTTGCAGATTTTGGTCTTGCTAAGTTATTGTTGGACGATACGGACAACCACCGATTTTCTATCAGCTGTACACACACTCTCAGGGGTTCTATTGGCTACATACCTCCAGGTTAGCTATGTGTACAACTCATTTATTTTGCCATCAACTTCATGTATAATTTCTTATATATGTTTTAATTTCTTGAAAATTATTATTATTATTATTATTATTAATGTTGGTAGAATATGGATACGGAGAAAGACCATCGACAGCTGGAGATGTGTATAGCTATGGGATTCTTCTGCTAGAGCTGTTTACCGGGAAAAGTCCCACGTGTGAGATCTTCACAGAAGATTTAACACTAAAGAGTTGGGTGGAAAAGCAATTTCCGACTGATGTGGAGAAGGTTCTAGAACTTGATCTAGTTGAGGAGATGAACGATTATTGGGAGGACGAAGAAGAGGGCAGGGATTGCGGTAAGCTCGAAAGCTGGCGAGAATGCCTGACTGCGGTCGTTGGTATTGGTTTGTCTTGTGCTGCTGAGTCAGCTGATGCGCGTATGTCCATTATAGACGCACTTCGCAAGCTCAAGAATGTCGAGGAGATACTTGACAAACATCGTCGACTTGTTGATGATGGGGAAACTATATATATTGATTCTTAGTATGTAAATTCATGAAGTTTAGCCCATACAAGCACAGATTATATATATATACAGACAATTTTTATCATATTCGAGTCCATATGTAAATTAAAGAAATTAAACCAAAAGACGGGGCATGTTGAAAAAGACGCCGTCGTTAACAGAGCTGCGGAAAGAAAATATATAGGGCCGTATTTTTTCGACAGGGCGGCGTACAATGACTTGTGCAGAGGTGTCTTCAACAAGTGAACACGGCCTATCACCGGAACTAACATGAACAACTAGGGGTGAATTCGAACGGATTTCTTTTTTTTTTCAAATAATGAAAGATTAATCTTGATCCGTTCAAAACAAACAAGAAGTCGAAAAAATCGAAAATAAATGTATTCCGAATACGTTTTGATACTCCGGTCCATGTCATTAGTTTCATCACATCAAAAGTTTCTATGTCAATTAAGACATGTTCCCGTTTGTCAAACTGTCCAATTCATGACTTTATCAACCCTTATATGGCTTTATACATATGAAATTTGAGGCTATAAGTATTTTGAAGAAATTGTCAAACTCATAGCTTTATTAGAAAATTCTTATGGCAGTGTTTGGTTTCGTTTCTATTTCATTGTTATAATTCTTTCTCGGAAACAAATTTGTGTTTGTTAAGCTTTTTAATAATAATTTCGAAAACAATTTCTAAAGCTTTTCTCTCATCCAGATATAATTTGACTGCTACGGTAGAAAAAAAATGACTGCTAAGTAAAAAATATCTTCACTGAATAAAAAAACAAATATCATTTTATTTTTAAAATTCTTCTAAAATATAATTTTTCCAACAACTTTAAACATGATTTAACTGCTACAGTGTATCTTGTTTCGTTTCAAATTATAAACAAATATTACATTAATCCTCAAATTACTCCTTTAAAATATATTTTCCCAAAATAAAATAAAAATAACTCCCAAAACGATTTCAAATGTACGTTTCTCGAAACAAAAGCTACGAGGGCTATAATTTTTTTTTTCTCTACGTTATGGTGGAAATTTTACAACATGTGAACAAGAATTGTAGTTCTGAGTTGTGAATTGTGATGCAATTGAATTGACTTTTGACTACCTACGTGAAAATTGTGAATGTTATGTCATAGTGTGATCCTAGTTGTGACTAATTCAATACACGTTACTTGTAAAAAGAAGTTATCAATTTCAAAAATACAGTTCACTTTGCATAATTTAATTACAAATTTTATTTTAAAATATAATAATTCGTAGAAACAAAACCCATTTTTTACTTTTATTAATCTTAGTAGTCCTCCTTTAAAACAAGCCCTAAAGAGAAACTAATACACGTGCATGTAAACTTTGCATGGTTATTCGACGTTCATTCACATTTTCAGATAGTATCCGCATGGTTATTAACTCGGAATATTTTAATTTGGGATTTCTATTTTTTTTATTAAATAAATTAAATTAAATTAAATATAATATATAGTTAATGATGGATTTAGACGTTAATAATTTAATATTACTCCGTAGACTCCCAAGTCTCGTTTGCTTTCAAGACTGGGAACGAATTCGTCAATGAATTAATGCATCCAATAATAACACGCCACGTGGTAGTTTTCTATTCACTTTTTCACGTATATAAATGTAAAATCTTAATTCAGAGTTATTGCAGGGAAGAAGATGGGTTCTTCTTCTTTTGGCAACTCCGCCATTAATATTATCCAGTTCTTCACTATTCTTCTTGTTCTCGTTACTTCTCAGCCGCCGCCGCCGCCGCCGTTTTCTTCTTCCCCAGCATTAAGCATCACCACCGACAAGGAAGCATTGCTTTCATTAAAGTCACAATTCCTCGTCGAAATTCCCAATAACCCTCTCTCAACATGGGACCAACAAAATCTCTCTCCCTGCAACTGGTCCGGTGTTTCCTGCACCGAGCAACGAGTCACCGGTCTCGATCTCTCCGGTCTCAGAATGGCCGGTTCGATTAGCCCTTACTTAGGTAACCTCTCCTCCCTCCGATCACTCCACTTGCAGAACAATCAGCTCACCGGAATAATCCCCGACCAGATCGGCGGTCTCTCTCGTCTCACAACTTTAAACCTCAGTTTCAACAGCATCAACGGAGAAATACCTCCGACAATAAGCCGGTGTAGAGATCTCACCACGCTGGAATTGATGCAGAATCGGATTTGGGGAAGAATCCCTCACGAAATCAGCCAACTCACGCAGCTTCAAACCCTAAATTTGGCCGGGAATCAGCTCACTGGTGACATTCCGCCGTCTTTCACCAACATTTCTTCCCTCGTCGATTTAAACCTAGGCACCAACAATTTAGGGCCGGGTACAATTCCCGACGATTTGTGGCGGCTTTCGAATTTGAAATTCCTCGATCTCACCATCAACAATTTCTCCGGTAGGGTTCCGCCGTCGATGTACAACATGTCCTCCTTGGTGTACGTCGCTTTAGCTTCCAACAATTTTTGGGGCGAACTCCCTCCAGACATCGCAACCACGTTGCCCAATCTCCTAGGGTTCAATTTCTGCTTCAATAAATTCACAGGTACTATCCCTTCATCTCTGCACAACCTCACAAACATACAGATAATTCGAATCGCCCATAACCTTTTGCATGGGAGTATACCCCCAGGCCTTGGAACCTCCCAAATCTAGAAATGTATAACATAGGATTCAATCGCATCGTCGGAAACTTCGATTTTCTCGAGCTTTTGTCAAACAGCACCCGATTGACTTCCTCACTTTCGATTACAACCTTTTCGAGGGCGGGCTCTCTCTTGTTATGTTTTACAGATTTTAGCGTGCGCTGCCGTCTGGCCGCCAACCTTTTGACCCTCCTTTTTT